TCACAACATTATAAGACGACGTGAAATGAGACAGAGATCTACACATATCATCTATCATGCAGAACAGCGAATGCCTATACATCGCCTTCCTTCCTTCTCCCTAACAACAAACAAATAAACAAACACACTTGAAAAGGAACACACAAAATTATATAATGAAAGAAGGTGAAATAGAAACCATGATCAATGCATGTTGTCATCTATAATAATAATAATACTATACGAAATTTCCATAGCGCTCAGCCCCAATGAAAAAGAACCCAGGCACTGAGTGGTTTACAAATACAATAGCAACACATAAACAGTACATTTTGTTCTGACATACAGAACTACACATACCAATCCACCCCCAGCCCCCTCTCTACTCTGTCCGCCTCTCTTATCAAAATATAAGAGTCCACCACACAAAAATAAATAAATACAAGTGAAAATGCTTTAATACATGAACAATCCATTTTGACCACTGTTACTACCATCATTTTCAAGATGACGATGATGATGATGATGATAATGGTGATGATTGCTACATATATCATCTAATTATTATTTGTGATTATTATTATCATCGTTATAATCATCATCATCACAATTATTATCATCCTTATTATTTCATTATTATCATTGTTATTATTATTATTATCATCATCATTATCAGAGCTTCCCCATTGGTTGTGGCTGTCTTCGTTGAGAATGGTACTCCCCATCGTGAAGGGGACGGCTTGCCACTTTGAGTACCCACCATGTAGAGCTAAGTACCAGCACCTGGAAGACGTGTATTCTGGGTACTCCAATAAGCGGGAACAAAAATCTATCACATGTCGCTGGGACCAGGTTGAGCTAGCGAGACTGCGGTCGGACCATCATTGGAGCTTAGGATGCTATAAGAACTTTGTAAATGAAGAGCTCAGTATATGTTGCCGAAGAAGCAACCATGAAAAGGAGGATGGCAAACATATGTTTGAATATCCAGGAACAACGGCAATTCGAATGGAGTTATTTGGACGAGTGGAGGTGCCGTTAAGCATATTGACAATGAAGCCGAAAAAGAGCCTCGCTCTCGCTCTAAGATTTCTTTGTGGAGTCCGCCAGGCCCATTAACGAAACAAACAAAATCATCATTATCATTGCTATTCTCACCTTGTGCATCATGTTGGGCATGGCCTCTGACCCCCGGGGCTCCCAGTGTGAGTCCGTGGTACACACCAGGAGCTGTTTGAGCATGAGGCCGCAGGCAAAGGCGTGGTCGCCATTGGTTACAGTGTCCTCGTAGCGGATGTGGATGTGACGCACAGAGATCTGTGGGAATATTTATGTCAGGGTGATTGGGGGGAAAAAGAGGGTGAAGGTTAGTTTTTTTTCGCTTTTGTAAGTGTTTTAAGGCGCTCGCAACTACATAAGGTCATATGTGCGCGCGGGACACACTTAACTTTTTCAGTTGGTAGGACATTTTGAATTTTGCTCGGGTGGCGGCCGAAGCCTACTCTTATCGATTTTAGACCACCAAGGGATCTTTAACGTGCGCAATTTGCACACGGGCCCTCCGAGATTTTCCGTCCTTGTCCGAGAAGGCTAGGTGTAGATCTTTCCCACCAGAAGATCAGGGGTGTGGCTGAAAGACAGTAGCAAAAAGAAGCCAAGTAGTAGCAGTAGAAAGGCTGTAGAAAGAATCAGGAGCCCAGAGGAGGGGGGCAAAGGAGAAGAGGGAGTTGGGGCAGAAAGAGGAGACGAAAGCAGATGACAGAACATTGCTAGAGAGCAGGAAAGGAGGTGAAAGGAGACAAATTTAGAGAAGAAAATTTTTTGGTCACTACCCGGATTCGAACCCGAGACCTTTGAAAGAGAGGCCAACACCTTAACCTCTAGGCCACGAGAGCCCCCGGTGAGGTTTAGAGGATTGGGGGTTGAAAGGTGGGG